AAGTAAAATAAAATGATTGAAACCCTGGGGGGAAAAACACAAGACACTTTTGCTCTGCTAAGCACCGTGAAAAAGGATGGCAAGACAAGCCTGAGAATGAGACACACCCAACGAAGAACGAATCTCTAGAACATACACGGAGCTGCCAAACACCTGCAGAAACGCAAACGGAAACACGTCAAGGGAGAGGATACACAGAGCCGCTGGGTCAGCGCCTGACTCGAGGCCGAGCCCGCGACCCTCAGCGATGATCACGTACACCGCAGTAAGCCGGCGGCACGGCACAGAATCAGAGGGGCTGAGAGAAGACACCGTGCCACCGGCCGACAGTGGCCGGGACGTGAGAGTGGGCGCCGCTCACACAGCGCGCGGGCATGTCATGCCAGTCCCTCTGGAAAAGGACGCGGCAGTTTCTCACGGAACACGCAGTACCCTACAGGCCCGCAAGTGCAAACCTGGGGCTTCATCCCCCAGCAAGAGGGTGACGCTCCCACGACGGCCCGCACGCCGGTATCTACACCAGCTTTGTGCAAAATGACCCCAGACTGGAAACCGCGGTGCATCCGAGCCGTGGAATCTCACCGCACACAGCAAGGCACGAGCCACCGACACCTGCAAAGCCCGCCCCCACTCCACTGCTGCGCAGACGAAAGCACTCAGTCCGAAGATGCAGGATCCACTCACAAACGTCGTGGTTGGGCCCGAGGACGGAGCGACACAGGCGTGGGCCCGCGATCAAGGGCAACGGGAAGGACAGCTCCGGTGAGGCGCATGTTCTGCATCTGTGTGCATCCACACCACCGTGCTGGCCACGACCGTCTACGGTATTTTCCCCAGACACGACCGTGTAGTGTGATGAGTGCAAGGGAGCTCTGTTCTTTCTGGCCGCTGCAGGAGAATGCAGTTATCCCCAGAAAGAAAAAGATCAACCATACGTTTACGTGTGCGTGCCCGTCCGTGTTCACAGCAGCATTGGTCACGGGGGCCGCGAGCTAGACGCAGGCCAAGTGCCCAGGGACAAGGGAGTTAAGAGAACGCATTACATGCACGCTGTGCAGTCTTATTCAGCTCAACAGAATGCATTATCTACAGCCGGGCAGTATTATTCAGCTAACCAGAACGCATTATCTACACACCGAGCAGTATTATTCAGCTAACCAGAACGCATTATCTACACACTGAGCAGTATTATTCAGCTAACCAGAACGCATTATCTACACACCGAGCAGTATTATTCAGCTAACCAGAACGCATTATCTACAGCCGGGCAGTATTATTCAGCTCAACAGAACGCATTATCTACAGCCGACAGTCTTATTCAGCTAACCAGAACGCATTATCTACAGCCGGCAGTCTTATTCAGCTAACCAGAACGCATTATCTACAGCCGGCAGTCTTATTCAGCTAACCAGAACGCATTATCTACAGCCGGGCAGTATTATTCAGCCCAACAGAACGCATTACATGCACGCTGTGCAGTCTTATTCAGCTCAACAGAATGCATTATCTACAGCCGGGCAATATTATTCAGCTAACCAGAATGCATTATCTACAGCCGGGCAGTATTATTCAGCTCAACAGAACACATTATCTACAGCCGAGCAATATTATTCAGCTAACCAGAACGCATTATCTACACACCGAGCAGTATTATTCAGCTAACCAGAACGCATTATCTACAGCCGGGCAGTATTATTCAGCTCAACAGAACGCATTATCTACAGCCGGCAGTCTTATTCAGCTAACCAGAACGCATTATCTACAGCCGGCAGTCTTATTCAGCTAACCAGAACGCATTATCTACAGCCGGGCAGTCTTATTCAGCTAACCAGAACGCATTATCTACAGCCGGCAGTCTTATTCAGCTAACCAGAACGCATTATCTACAGCCGGCAGTCTTATTCAGCTAACCAGAACGCATTATCTACAGCCGGCAGTCTTATTCAGCCCAACAGAACGCATTACATGCATGCTGTGCAGTCTTATTCAGCTCAACAGAATGCATTATCTACAGGCGGGCAGTATTATTCAGCTAACCAGAACGCATTATCTACAGCCAGGCAGTATTATTCAGCCCAACAGAACGCATTACATGCATGCTGTGCAGTCTTATTCAGCTCAACAGAATGCATTATCTACAGGCGGGCAGTATTATTCAGCTAACCAGAACGCATTATCTACAGCCGGGCAGTCTTACTCAGCTAACCAGAACGCATTATCTACAGCCGGGCAGTATTATTCAACCCAACAGAACGCATTACATGCACGCTGTGCAGTCTTATTCAGCTCAACAGAATGCATTATCTACAGCCGGGCAATATTATTCAGCTAACCAGAATGCATTATCTACAGCCGGGCAGTCTTACTCAGCTAACCAGAACGCATTATCTACAGCCGGGCAGTCTTACTCAGCTAACCAGAACGCATTATCTACAGCCCGCAGTCTTACTCAGCTAACCAGAACGCATTATCTACAGCCGGGCAGTATTATTCAGTTCAACAGAACGCATTATCTACAGCCGGGCAGTCTTTTTTTTTTTATTTGAGAGAGAGAATAAGAGAGAGAGAGCATGAGTGGGGGAGGGTCAGAGGGAGAAGCAGACTCCCCGCCAAGCAGGGAGCCCGATGTGGGACTCGATCCAGGGACTCCAGGATCATGACCTGAGCCGAAGGCAGTCGCTTGACGAACTGAGCCACCCAGGCGTCCCTACAGCCGGGCAGTATTATTCAGCCCAACAGAACGCATTACATGCATGCTGTGCAGTCTTATTCAGCTCAACAGAATGCATTATCTACAGCCGGGCAATATTATTCAGCTAACCAGAATGCATTATCTACAGCCGGGCAGTCTTACTCAGCTAACCAGAACGCATTATCTACAGCCGGGCAGTCTTACTCAGCTAACCAGAACGCATTATCTACAGCCCGCAGTCTTACTCAGCTAACCAGAACGCATTATCTACAGCCGGGCAGTATTATTCAGCTCAACAGAACGCATTATCTACAGCCGGGCAGTCTTTTTTTTTTTTATTTGAGAGAGAGAATAAGAGAGAGAGAGCATGAGTGGGGGAGGGTCAGAGGGAGAAGCAGACTCCCCGCCAAGCAGGGAGCCCGATGTGGGACTCGATCCCAGGACTCCAGGATGATGACCTGAGCCGAAGGCAGTCGCTTGACGAACTGAGCCACCCAGGCGTCCCTACAGCCGGGCAGTATTATTCAGCTCAACAGAACGTATTACATGCACGCTGTGCAGTCTTATTCAGCTCAACAGAACGCATTATCTACAGCCGGGCAATATTATTCAGCTAACCAGAACGCATTATCTATACACTGTGCAGCATTATTCAGCTCAACAGAACACATTATCTATAGCCGGGCAGTCTTTTTTTTTTTTTTTTTAATTTATTTGAGAGAGAGAATAAGAGAGAGAGAGAGCATGGGGGGGGAGGGTCAGAGGGAGAAGCAGACTCCCCGCCGAGCAGGGAGCCCGATGCGGGACTCGAGGATCATGACCTGAGCCGAAGGCAGTCGCTTAACCAACTGAGCCACCTAGGCGTCCCTACAGCCGGGTAGTATTATTCAGCTCAACAGAATGCACTATCTACACGCCGTGCAATACTACTCAGCCTCAGAAAGGAAGGAAAGCCCGTCACGTGACAGTGTGACCAAACCTCGAGGACACCACGGTGCATGAAACAAGCCAGTCAGGGAGATACAAACGCTGTGAAGGTGTAACTGTACTTGCACGAGCTACGAGGAGTAGCCAAATTCACAGAGGAGGCAGAAGGGCCGTTTCGTGTGTGTGTGGGGGAGAGGGGAGTTATTCCCTAACCAGCAATGGGTTTCCAGTTCGGAAAATGAGACAGTTCTGGAGACCGTCTGCACGACAGTGGAACGTAGCTAATATCGCTTAATGCGTAAAAATGCTGCTGTGCGTTAAAAATAGTTAAGATGGGAAATTTTATGTAATATGTACTTTACCACAATTAAAAACTTAACAAATTTCAAAACGACTCTAAAAAATAAGACCTTTGTGACGATGACTTCCAGCGCCCTGAGCAGAAACTGTCTTTGGTGGAGCGAGCAGATGGCGCTGACTCACCGAAATCCGTCTTCCCGTTGTACGGGAGCAGACGGAGACTCAGATGGGTGCTGGGCTCGTTGGATGCTGAGCTCACAGCACCTCTCTGCACGTCATACCGGTCAGAAGTCCACCTTTACTAAGAAACGTGTGTTTCACCTCCTTTGGGTCAGTCTGTTCCACAGCTGTCACGAGACATGGCCAATGCCGTGAGTAAGGCTTGAGATACAAGAGCCCCTGGATAAGGCTCAAGGGGAACAGGAGAACGGGGGAACAGGGGGACGGAGACGTCCCGAGCCACGTACCCAATAGCTCCTCCCCACCCTGAGCCGACCCCACTCCCAGGTCCCAAGTCCCGTCGGATGCACGGTGCTGGAGGCACACCTGGGACCCTCAGACAGCGCTCCGCCTGCCAGGTCCACACCTCACGTCACCCACGTCCCCAGGGAATGAGACCACATCGCCTGCCAGCCAGGGGAATGTGTCAGGAAAACTTCTGAAGGAGGCATTATGAGAAGCTGCAGCCAAAGGCAGCAACAGGGCCGGAAAAGAGGGAGCGAGACCACCGGTCGGACAGGCTCTCCATCGCGTGGGGACATGCTTGCGAAAGGAAGCCTTGCTTGGACGTGTGCAGTATCACATGGGAACGTACCACGGAGACTCCCGGACAATGTGCCCGGCTGTGTATGGTACTGCAATGACCTGTGCCTTCTCCGTCCACCTCCCAACACTCCGGAACACAATCAGTGTGACGATTGGGACAGAAATGGGTACGCTGTGCGGTCTCCCATATTTCACGGGGGGTCCTGAAGTGTCCAGAGGACGGCACATGGGGATCCGAGGCCACCTGCGCTCTACCATGCTGCGTGTGCAGAGGGCAGTGGTTTGGGGTTCAGGGACTCTGGTGGAAATCACTCACCGGAGGCAGCTGGAGGGCCGTCACCTGCTGTGCATCCCTCAAACTCGCTTCCTGAAGGGGGGTGTCTTGCAGAACTGAAAAAGAGAGAAGAAGCATGTCTTTCCGCACCCGCAGGAGGTGGCCCATGAAGAGCACCTGCGAACCACAGGGATTTCCGTCACTCTGACACCACAGGCCCGCCCACCCTCACCCTGGGCCCCTGGCACCTCCGCGCCGCTGTGGGAGGAGTCCTCTCCCGCCTGGACCCTACCACGTTGCAGGCGGGGAGCCACGCACCTGGCCGTGGGGCCGCCCCGTGAAAACGAGCTCCTTCCTCAGAAGGAGGAACCTGCTCCTTCCCCAGGGGAAGGCTTGGAGCGCTTGCATCTGCTGGGTCGGGGCCAACCCAGGAGGCGAAGCCTACGTCACATGCTGAATCCCCACCCAAGCTGACGCTAGAGTCCGGTGTCCGTCCCCTGCAGGGCTGGGCCACGAGCCTCCACCACAGTGAGGGCGAGTGACCGGGCGAGCTCAGCCAGCAGGGACAGGTGGCTGTCCCTGCTGAGAGGCAGCCTCTTCACTCTGCCGCCCCTCGCGCAGGCTGGGCGGGCTCGCATGTGGGGGGCCTGTTGTGCTTCCGGTCTCGTACCTGCTGCATTCTGGGCAACGGTCTACAGCCCTGCCCCACCTGTGCCCGAGAGAAAGGAGCGTATGGACACCGTGGAAATCGCCCTGGCGAGCCTTCAGTCTCCAACGAAATGTAGCTTTTTAGGAACACCTGCACGATGAGGAACTATATGGCTTTTACTGCAGGCTCCCCCCAGTGACCAACCAGGAACGTGTAACCTCGGGGTGTGACTGCACCCAGAGATAAGGTCTTCCAAGGGGTAACTGAGCTACACTGAGGTCCCACGGGCAGGCCCTGGGCCAGTGACTCACGTCCTGATAAAGAGGGATGAGCACACGGACGGACACAGGGAGAAGAGGCTCGTGAGAAAGCCACCTGCCCGCGCCCCGATGGAGAGCGCCGGCCCCCCGGATCTGAGAGAATATGCGTTTCTGCTGTGGGAGCTGCCCGGGGCACGACGCTGGTCACCGAAGCCCCAGCGAGCCAGTGCGGCCAGCCGCCCTGACGTTAAAGCAGGGAGAAGCTGGAGACTTGCACAGAAGGCGGGTGAGTTTCACACAGAGAAACTTAAGATGCCTTTTTTTTGGTTTTATCTACAAACCTTACTACATTACAAAAGACCACAAGCATGCCCCCTGGCTATTTCCCCGCTGTAGCCACAGGACAACGTGGCGAGTCCACCCAAACCAACCCTCCCCACCCAAACCAACCGTCCCGTGTGGAGGTGACCGCCACCTGCCAGGATGACCATGGGCAGCCCGGGGCCTCTGCTCTCAACAAACCCAGTAAGGGTGACTGACTTGTCACTGGGGACTTGCCGCCAGTAAAAGCCATACGGTTCCTAATCGAGCACTGATGGTGCCTGGCTGGTCCCCAAGCCGACAAGGCCCGCAGACGCACCCTCCAACAGGCAGGCAGTGGTCCCTGTGCGTGGGCCGAGCACAGAGACGAGGACAGACGCGCTCCTCAGAGTCTGACCGAATCGCTCTGGGGAAGGACCCAGACCCCGCACACAGCGCGTTCATGGCTGTCTGGCGGATGAGAACGGAACACCGAGGCCAGGCTCCGCTGTGAGGGCACAGGGTGGGGTATGCATGCTCCCCCCCGCCTTGGCCGGTACCTGGATCCCCACTGAGCTGGCCTGGCGGTCTGCTTGGGAGCCCAGGGCCCGGCGCCAGGGCCACGGGCTGGGTGTCCTGGCTCTTGGCGAGGTCGCCCTGGGCTTCTGCCGGCAGCCGTTCCTGCTCCGGGTCCGGAGGGCCCTCCCCATCCTCGATCACCACGGGGTCCTCACAGTGCTTGAGCTGCAATCCCAGGGAGGGTGTTTCAGGGCCAGGTGGACAGGTCCCTGGCCAGGCGAGGGCTGGTGGCTGAGCCAGAAACTGGGCCAACACCGTCCCCCCGGGCCTGCCCGTCCCCTTCCCGGCGGAGCTCGGGAGGCTCACACAGGGTCCCTCAAGGAGCGGAACCCACTGTCTTGGGAAACCAACTCCAGCGTGAGCCTCACCGAAGCCCGGAGCTCCAGACGGAAATTCTACCCCCGGCCAGGGGACACATGATGCTGCTGAGCTTCCACGTCCACGGCAGCCCCTCTCCACAAGCGCCCCCGCCCCGGCCAGCCCAGCGCAGCGCCCCGTGCTCACCCACTGCCATGGTCTCCCCGGTTCCCGCTCCAGAGCCTCCACGGCCGCCACAGCCTGGTCGCCGCTCTCGGGCTCCTGGGCCCGCACCCAGCCCTGGATCTCCCGGGGCAGGATGGCCAGGAACTGCTCCAGCACCAGCAGCTCCAGGATCTGCTCCTTGGTGTGCCTCTCGGGCCGCAGCCAGCGTCGGCACAGCTCCCAGAGGCGGTGCAGGGCCTCCCGGGGGCCCGCCGCGTCCTGGTAGCGGAACCGGCGGAAGAGGCGGCGGGAGGACTCGGGGCTGGGAAGCTCCCCCTGGGGGCTCGGGTTCTCTCCCGGTGGGCTCCTCATTTTCCTGGGCTCCTCACTTTCCTTCGGAGCCAAGACTCGGGGGCACAGGGCTGTGGGCATGATGGGGTTTGATGGGGGTCAGCAGCAGAAGACGACCCTATTTCCAAACAGAAATCACTGGCTTCAATGTTCCGGTCTGCTGTGGTAGGTTCTTGGGGGTGGTGTTGGGGAGTGTGCAGAGCCCACAGAGACCAGCCCTCGGGAGATGGTCTGGGCCGCGCGGGAGGGGTCCGCGTGGCTGCCCCTTACACGAGGGGGCGAGGGAAATACCACCCCCGCCCCCCACCGCACCACCACGTGATCCCCCTCGCTGGGTGACCAGACACACAAGGCGGGGAGTCTGGGAGAGAAGTGCTATCAGGACAGGACACGGACGGGGCCACACGCCGGACACAGAGGGAAGGAAGGCGCCGTGGTACCTTCGGTGGCCAGGTTCTTGGAACAGGACCTGAGACGCACGCGCCGAGCAGGACGTTATCTTGAGGCTTTGGAGCCAAAGTTGCCGTCCTTGTCCTTGAGACTTTTGCAAAAAGAGCTGGGAAGATAAAGGCAGACGTGCCTCTGGGAAGGGCATTCAAAGCAGAGCTGGGACCAGAAGTCAACCCCGCGGGTGGCCGGGCGAGCACTGGTGGGTGCCAGACCTGCCAGACTGAGCCCCAGGCAGCCGGACAGAACAGCAGGCGAGAGAGGCAGAGAGAGGAGAGACGGGGAGAGAGGAGAGAGGGGGAGAGGCGAGAGACGGAGAGAGGCGAGAGACGGGGAGAGGAGAGATGGGGAGAGGCGAGAGACAGAGAGAGGAGAGACGGGGAGAGAGGAGAGACGCGGAGAGGTGAGAGACGGGGAGAGAGGAGAGACGGGGAGAGGCGAGAGACAGATAGAGGAGAGACGGGGAGAGAGGAGAGATGCGGAGAGGCGAGAGACAGAGAGGAGAGACGGGGAGAGGCGAGAGACAGAGAGGAGAGACGGGGAGAGAGGAGAGACGCGGAGAGGCGAGAGACAGAGAGAGGAAAGACGGGGAGAGAGGAGAGACGCGGAGAGACGAGAGATGGGGAGAGAGGAGAGACGCGGAGAGGCGAGAGACAGGGAGAGGCGAGAGACAGAGAGAGGAGAGACGGGGAGACAGGAGAGACGCGGAGAGGCGAGGGACGCAGCCGCACCCTGCGTGTCACCAGGGAGAAGTAACTGTGTTCTCAGAAGCAGCAGCGCTGCGGGTCAGCCGCCGCCCCTCACTCCGAAGTCTGACTACAACTTTGGGGTCCCGAGCCGCCCTCCCTGGCCTTCAGCCTCGCCTGCACCCCTCCCCGGGTCCTCCCCAAACCACGGTGAACGCGACAGCGCACAGCTCACGGCCCTTCCTCAGGCAGGACAGAGGCCGGGCGCTCGGCGCACAGGGGCTGGGTGGGGGCGCACACCTCCCCAGGGACGTCAGAGAGCAGCCGCGCCTCCTCTAGGCGGGGGGCCCCAGGAAAGTGAAGGGCACATGGGGAGGCACGGCCCCTTGCCTACCGCTCGGGCCTCACCGCAGCCCTCTGGGGGTGTCCGCGCCGGCAGCTGGAGCACCGTCCCAGCCAGCGCGCCCGGCCGCCCCTTGCAGCGGCTCGGCCATCGCCCCCCGGCTCGGCCTCCAGGGGCTCAGGGCGGCCCCCGGGCGGGAGCCGGGCGCTGCGGATCACCCCCGAGCACGCAGCCGGCCCTCTTTGTCACCGGGCACCGGGCACGCAGGCGGCTCGGCAGGAGATGCCCGGCGGACGAACTCCCGTGGGTCCAGGGCGCATTCCGGAGGGGCGGGGCGTGCGGAGAGCCGCTCCGGGAGGACGCCCCCCGAGCGGCGGAAGGGAAGGAGCGTGGCGCGCCAGGCCGGGCGGCGGGGCCGGCCTCCCTCGCCCCCCCGCCCGGCCACCCAGGCGCGCCCGCAGTCCCGCCAGCCCCGGCCGCCCGCCCACCTCACCGCCTGGAGCGCCGGCCCGGCGTCTAACTCGAAGCCCTCCTGCCGCGGCGCCAGTCCCCGGCAGCAGCTCCTCATCCTCCCAGCCCGCTGCCCCGGGCGCCTTCCGGAGGCGGGCCGGCTCCCCGCCGGGGCCCGCTCCGTCCCCGGCTCATCCGGAAAGCCGCGGCTGCGCTCGGGGCTGGAGACGCGGGGGCAAATGCAGGCGCCTGGGAAGCAGCGTTTGTGTCGCCTCGCGGCCCCGCCGCACCGTCCCCGCCGCGCGGGGGGCCGGGCCGCGCAGGCCGCACTCACCGCCGCGGCGCGTCCCCGGTGGCGGGCCGCGCGAGCCTGGCCGCCGCGGAGCCCGCCGGACGCGCAGGAAAGGAAGGGCCGGAGCCCTCCGGCTCCCTCCCCTGGGACACTTCCTGCTCCGCTCTAGGACCGGGGAGGTCTCCGCATCTCAGTGGTTCGCTCCCCCGCCCCCCGGCCGAGGTGCGCGCGGGGGGTGACATCCGACACCCCCGGCCCGGCCCGGCCCGCGCGCCCCGCCCCGCCCCGCCCCGCCCCGGCTCCGCGCGCCCGGGCCTCGGCGTCCGGCCGGGGGCTTTGTGGGCCCACGGCGCCGCGCCGGCCTGGGCGACCCGGGGCCCGCGCGGGGGACGCGCGCCGGGGGCGGGCGAGCAGGCGGCCGGGGACGCGGGCGGCGGCGGGGCGCGCGCGGCTGCCCAAGGGCCGTGCGGGGGCCCCTCCCGCCGCCGCTCTCCCAGCCCGGCTCCCCCTCCCCCGGGGCTGCGGGCGCCGGGAGGGGCCGAGCGCGACCCCCGAGCCGCGCCCGGATGCTGGAAGTGGGAGGGGAGCGGAAGGAGGCGAGCCCTGCTCCCGCGCGCCGCGGGCCACTCCATCTCCGAGCCCGCCCGGGACCCTCCCCACCCCACAGCCGGGCGGACCCAACCCCTTCGCCGCCAGAACCCTGCCCTCCGCCCGGCTCGCGGCCGCCGCAGAGACCCCCCCCGCCCCCCCACGCCTCATCCACTCCGGGACGCCGGGCTTTCTTGGGATGAAGCCCATTTGGGGAGTTTCACAGTTTAAGAAAGGCTGCCCGCTGTATGGCCCTTCTGAGCATCAGGACAACGCTGGGGAATGCGCAGAGGGGCTGGGGTCAGACGCGGCCCCAGTGGGTGGTCAGGAAGCGCACTGCCGGCCTCAGGGGAGGGCACAGTTAGATGTTCCTACTGTGGCGGAGAGAGAGGTTACGGGCCTCTGAAGTCCGGTGGCAGTGAGGGGTGAGCGGGGATTGGGGCCACCGTACCCCCAGACAGGGCTCCTTGGCCTCTGCCCTGTGCTGAACATAGCCCAGCAGCTCCGCGGGGTCTCCCCGGATCCATCTCGAGTCTTCCAGGTTCCAGAGCTTGGGAGAAAGCCTGTCCGGTCCCTGCGCAGGCCCGGTGGGTACCAACCCTGCCGCATCCCCTGCTCCTCCCTGACGCTGGCCTCTCCCGCGGGAGAGGAGGCAAAGGAAAGGTTCCGTGTCCCACAGGGGCGCCTGAGTGCAGATCGCTGTTGGAGGCCAAGCGGAAAGAAAACCAGTTCGCCCAAAGACAGTGGCCTGGCTGAACAGAGGGGCAGAGAGCGAATGGACTTGAGGAATCTGGGCCCTCACCTGTGTGTTCTCGGTCCGTGGGCCCGGGCGCCTCCCATTTCCCATAAACTCCATAATCAGTCCTGACCAGCGGGGTAACTGGGAGCCGCCATTTGCCAGACGCCTGGATTCTGACTTTAGCAGGAGATGCACCAAAGTGAAGGAGTGGAGCTTTTTGTGAACAGTGAGTATTCCCCCCAAATGACAGAAACAGGCAGGGCCACCCAGAGGTCTTCTGTGGGGCCACCCCCTTCGGACTTGAGCAGACTCTCCGTTAGCAGGATTCACGCACACCTCGGACCTCAGGAGCACCGGCCAGCCCTGCTCCGCGGCTCTAAGGGGCCATTCCCCCAGGGAGGGACCAAGGATCCGCCCAAGGTAGGCTGGGCTCTGGTGCTGGCATGGGTCTGCGCGTCCACACCCTCCTTTTGCTGTGCCCAGCTGGGGAGCCAGCAGCTGAGTGCTGGGAATCTGGCGCTCATGGCCTGCCCAGGGCGGTTCTACCCCAGATAAAATGTGGAGCCTAGAAATGCCTAGCACACAGCATCAGATCGGTCTGTGCCGCTCAGCCCGGTTCCTTCCCCTGAACGATCCCTCCCCGTGAGCTGTGCACCCTTCATAGCTCAGAGTAGGCCCTTAGGTTGCGTGTCTTCTGCATTTCCCTCCGCACAGGGGTTAGAACCAGCCGCTGGGAGAAATCCTGCCTCCTCACGTCCTGACCAGGTGATCTCGGGCGTCCTCCACCTTTCCGAGCCTCGTTTCTTCATCCAGGAGACGCAGGTGAAGCCGTCCACCTCACTGAGGGCATCTGGGATCCTTCCGGCACTCAGTAAACACACTGAGCCCCTGCCAGGCACTCAGGGCACATCCAGGAACCCAGCCGGCCCGCCCGGGGAGGGTGCAGGCAAGCAGGCAGCAAACTCTGTAACACCATCTGCTGTCTCATGCGTGTTGCAGAAGTGAGCAGTGTCGAGGAACGGCGCCTGGAGAGGGGCTGGCGGTGTTCGTGTTCCAGAGGCCAGGGCAGGATCCCGTGTGGCAGGGATCTCCGAGTCGGTCAAGCTCAAGCGGGCGTGAGCACAGCGTCCCAGGTGGAGGCCCGAGGGCGAGCTGCAGGGAGGTGGCCCTGGAGCTAGAGGGGTGGGCTCTCGGGGGTTGGGGGCAGGGCCAGGGCATGGGCGCCGTGGAAACGTCTCTTTCGGCCCCTGCCGGGATTGTCAAGTGCAGCAAGCATGGGCTGAACCTGCATGGAGACCCTGCCCGAGGACTGTCCACTGTCTCAGGCCCAATGTGTGCGTTTCTTTGGTTTACATTACTGCCGCTGACCGTGTATATTTCTACGAGATATTTTCCATTTGCCACCAATTCTTCCGTCCTTGCAGACACCGCGGTGGACAGAAGACCCTGGCTTCCCTTCTGGAGGCCTGCAGGGACATCGGGTAGTAAATAAAGTGCTGGTCAGAGATGCCATGAAGATGAAAGGCGTACAGTACAACAGGGTGAGGACTGGAAGGAGCTGCCTGAGGAGACTTTGGGACGGAGAGCAGGGGGAGGGCTCAGCAGCTCTTCTGACGAGCAGAGCACAGGGGTGTGGGGAAGAGCGTTCCAGCAGAGGGAACAGGGAGAGCAGGGCACTGGAACAGAGCGACCGCCCTTCAACTCAGCAAGTCCAGTAGGGGCCGGGCTGCAGGGACCTCGTCTTCCCGCGGTCGCTGTGCCGAACGGATTGGAGGGACACCGAAGAGGCAGGGGCTGTGTGACGCGGTCGGGGAAGACACGGGCAGGAGGTGCCTGTTCTGCCGTGGCTGCTAGAGGTGCCCCAGGCGGGCGGCAGCAGTTTCCCACTGGCGTCCTGTAGTATGGTAGAGGATGGGCTGTGGTTTGGGTCCGAACTGGGTGAGTGAGGGGCTTGTCTAGGAAACAGTGAGCAGGTTTCTGGACAGGGCTTGGGAGACAAGGGTGGATTTCAGGACGTGCTGCGTCTGAAAGGCCCAAATGACAGGTAGGGATGGCCCTTGGGGGAGAAGGCAGAGGCTGGAGGTGGAATCTGGGCTCACAATACGTAGCAGGAGTTGAGACCCTGGGATGCACACGCAGGGGTGGAGAAGAGCAGGCCGAACTGGGCCATGGCAGCTCCCCCACTGGGAAGAGAGTGGGGGGTGCGGAGGGCACCCAGGGGGAGGAAGAGGAGGAGGAACAGCGGGCCCTCCCCAGCTGGTGGGAACCTGGGCAGTACTGAGCCTTGTGTGTGTGATTCACGGAAGAGGGGGGCTGTGTGGGGTGCGTCCCGCTGCCAGGCCCATGTGCATGTACACACGGGCCTGGGATTGGGTAGAGACGCCCCTGAGCGGACTGGAGGCCATGGAGCCGCTGGGCTGGAGCACCGTTTGGAGTGAGCAGGGAGGTGAGGAGAAACGGGGCCCCAGGTGGGTGGGGGCAGCCCAGGTCCCATCTTGAGGGAGGGAGGGGTCTGGGGTCCAGGGCCGAGGGGAGCGGCGAGGGGAGGAGAGTAGGGAAGGTGGCCTCTGGGCACCCCCCTCCCCGGCTCACAGGCTGGGGGTGTGTGGCCGTCCGGGAGCCCGAGGTGGACACAGTCCACTAACAGAAGAAGCAGGTGTGATGGTCTATTCCAGGTGTCAGCTTGGCCGGGCCCAGGTGCCCAGGTTGTGGTCAAACGCTGGTTTAGATTTGCTGGGAAGGTATTTTTAAAGTTTTGTTTGAGAGAGAGACAGAGCGTCCGCACGAGTGGAGGATGCACGAGTGCTGAGCAACGAGCCCGTGGAACTCCATCTCAGACCCCTGAGGTCATGACCTGAGCCACCCAAAGGTGGTTTCAGATGAGGTTAACATTGAAATCGGTAAACTTTGGGTAAAGCAGCTTACCGCCCGTAATGTGGATGGGCTTCAGCCTCCACGATCTTGTGAGCCAGTCCCCCATCTCTCTAAATCTCTCCATCTACACACGTACCCTAAATATCTCTACATGCATATCCTAAATATCTCTACACATGTACCCTAAATACGTCTACATGCATAGCCTAAATATCTACATGCACACCCTAAATATCTCTACACGCACTCCCTGCGTATCTCTTCGCATGCGCCCTACGTATCTCTATGCGCACCCCCTGCGTATCTCTACGTGCACCCCCTATATCCCTCTGCCTACATACCCTAAATCAATCACTCTCTCTGTCTTCACGCCGCCCCCCTGCACACACGCCGTGGATATTTCCCCGGAGAACCCCGGCCGACACAGGGCCCTGGGCTTACAGAGAAGAGTGGGAGGGTCTGGAGGCCTGAGTGCAGGAGGAGGTGGTGGGACAGGCTCATTTTGCACACTGGGAGGGTGGCAGGGATATCGCAAAGGAAGTGACGAATTCCGCCCCCCGTGGGGTGGGAACTGCGCACAGTGAGGCATGATGCGTAGCTCTGCCCCAACCCGGAGTCTGCACACAGCCAGGTCTGCCCTGGGGAGCCGGTCACTACTCCACACGGGCTGCCCGTATTCCTACAGCAAATACAGACATGTGAGGATGTGCGGCCTCCCACGGGGTCTGGGCCAGCCCCATCTGCATTCCCTGGGAGCTCGTTAGACACAGAAGCCCCCAGGCTGCACGCCCAGCCTGCGTGGTTAACCAGGCACCGGGGGACCGTCCAGCTCCGTGTGGTTTGGGAAGCTCTATCGCTCATGGGTCATCGTGGTTCCTGGCGGACTAGACGCTCAGTCACTCTAGCTTTGCAAGGAGTCCTAGGAATAACAGTGCCAGGTATCACTGTGACTTATTCCCGGGCTCCCGGGAGGCGAGGACATGGGGCTTGCCGTGGCACCCCAGCTCAGCAGAGGTCATGTCCCGTGGAGACTCCACTGAGTGAAGGAATTTGGCTTCCTTAATTTTGTTGCAAGATGGCTGCTCCATTTTTATGGGCTTTCTTTTTTCTTCTGTGAAAGGGAAAGGACTTTCAGAACTACACGGAGAGGTGCTCAGGGGCTCCGATGAGAACCTCTGGAAAGGCCACATGGTCCCTCGGGAAACATGCCATCCCGTTCCGTGAACTCATTCGTGGTCAGAAAAACTGAGACCTCCCCGGCCTTAGTTTTGGGAGCGGTCTGTGAGCACGGGGGTGTGGAGGTGTGAGTGCAGGAGGAGACGCGGTGCCCTGCTCACCTTGCACGCCGGGAGCCAACTCAGCCAGACCACCAGCAGCCAGCCTGTAGTCTGACATGATCGGATTGACCCAGGCAACCAGGGTTTTGTGGGGGTGCCTTGAGGGAGGAGCTGGAGAGGTTGGAGTGAGGCTTGATCAACGGGGCAGAGCAAAGTGGCCCGTGAGGTTGGTTCCAGCAAGGATGGAGGAGGAGAGGGGCACCAGGGACGCTTCCGCGGGTGGATGCCCTCAGAGAGTGGGGTTCTTGGATGGGAGGATGGCGGAAGGGGAGAGGAACAGCTAGGCACACAGCTGCTCTGCTGGGTCTGTCTTCCCGGGGACCTCGCTGATTTTCACCCTTTGGCTCCGAGAAGGTTTCCACCCGTTCTGACCTTCCTTTCTGTCTGCTCAAGTGAGGTGAATCCCAGGATGCTGCAGTTTCAGGCTGGGCCCCTGAGGCTCAGGAGGAGGAAAGAGCTCAAGGGCCCCACGGGACGGGTGTGCGTGCGTGAGAGGGTGGAGGGAGGACCAGAGACATTGCACAGGATCTGTTTGCATGTGCTAGGTGAACCACCAGCATTTTATCACAGTGCTCCCTGGAATCCCAGGAAGCTGGAGCCCGAAAGTACCACATAGTCTCCTTCAGGATAGGAGGGCCCAGTGCAGGCTGAGTCCTGCACTCTTACGTGTATCCTGACCTCCTTATCAGAGCAGAGACCCCGTCCTGGATCCCACCCCCTGTGCTCCTGATCCTCCTCTCAGAGCACGGACCCCATCCTGGATCCCACCCTCTGTGCTCCTGATCCTTCTCTCAGAACACGGACCCTATCCTGGATCCCTCCCCTGTGTGACCTGATCCTCCTCTCAGAGCACAGAACCCATCCTGGATCCCACCCCCTGTGCTCCTGATCCTCCTCTCAGAGCACGGACCCCATCCTGGATCCCACCCCCGTGTGACCTGATCCTCCTCTCAGAACACGGACCCCATCCTGGATCCCACCCTCTGCAGGACCAGACCGTCCTCTCAGAGCACAGACCCCATCCTGGATCCCACCCCCTGTGCTCCTGATCCTCCTCTCAGAGCACGGACCCCATCCTGGATCCCACCCCCTGTGCTCCTGATCCTCCTCTCAGAGCAGGGACCCCATCCTGGATCCCACCCCCTGCGGGACCTGATCCTCCTCTCAGAGCACAGACCCCATCTTGGATCCCATCCCCTGCAGGACCTGATCCTCCTCTCAGAGCACAGACCCCATCCTGGATCCCACCCCCTGCGGGACCTGATCCTCCTCTCAGAGCACAGACCCCATCCTGGATCCCACCCCCTGCGGGACCTGATCCTCCTCTCAGAGCACAGACCCCATCTTGGGTCCCATCGCCTGCGGGACCTGATCCTCCTCTCAGAGCACAGAACCCATCCTGGATCCCACCCCCTGTGGGACCTGATCCTCCTCTCAGAGGTGATGGGCTGATGGGCTTCCAAGGCCTGGAAAGACCCCCCCCCACACACCCACTAACTTGACTTGCCATATTAGGAACTGTGTCCAGTCTTGCTTCTTTATAATGATTATTTCCAGTCTCCTGTGCAGTCTCTTGTGGATAAATGAGACCCTTCAATGTGACTTGAAACTTGTCCCCTTCACCTTTCTCCTGTCCTTTATCTGCCACATCTAACCAGGCAGACTTGAGAACTGTTCCCCTGGCCATCTCTGCATGCCTGTCCGTCTTCGCTGAGAGCCGTCTCCTCGGAATAGGGACCTAATTGCCAGCACAGCGGCTGTCCCATCTCTCTCCTCTTTGGATTAATTCAGAGCACTTTGTGGATGTCATTTATGGGCATCAACTCAGAGTGGACGACCTGAAAACCCCATAGGCACCACACAAAGATGAACTAAGGGAAAACGTGGCCATTAGCCGAGGAGGGTGGTGATCCCCTTTGTGGGAGAGGAACAAAATCCTTCCCTGTTGAGCCCCGTCTCCCGCCCCCCCCCCCCAAGGATGGTCTGCAGAAGCCCCACACCCGGCAGAGGTGTTCGCCGCCAGGAAGGAACCTGCGGGTGACCAGGGGCTCAGTGCACTTTGAAGGGATCAGGTGGGCAGTCAGTGGCAAATGGGGCCCCCCAGCTTCAGACTTCCCTCCGTGGTCGGCCTGCAATAATAGCTCCAAGGGGGCTTCATGGACGTTTGGTTTAGGTTTATCAGGGGACCTCACCCCCTTAAACGTAGGCGGGAGGGGTCCTGGGAAGCTAACACAAAGGGGAGGTCCCCTGAAGACACTTGCTGTTTGGACAGAACTGTGCGAGAAACCCGGAGACCAGGTCACCAGGCTAAAGAGCGTGGGTTTCGCTCTGCGGGTCAGTGTTTCCCAGGCTTCTCTGCCTGCAGCCTGGACAAGGCGCATGCCTCACGATGCACTCCGAGCACTTCCATTCTGTTCTGTGGAATGAGGCTGGGCTGTCATAGGCAAACATTCTCTCCTCAACGCAGCTCCTCTCAGGCTTCCTGAGCATGTTTTCAAGTAGACCTGGCTTCTGGGCTTCCCCATTCGTGTCTGCATCGTCCAGTTTTAGCAACTACCCTGGAGATGCCTGATGAGGGGTCCCCCAGGTGATATCAGATCACGCTGCTGCAGGAATCCCCTTGGGTCATGTTGCTGTGGCCAGAATCCCCCTGACTGCTAATGTTTCCTCTTAGTAACTTCCTATCCCCTGACTCTCACCCTGCTCTTTGGCCATCAATTCCCACTTTTCCTTGTTGTATTCAGACTTGAGCCTGATCTCTCTGCCCCACTGCAAGACTCCACTGCCTGGTCCCTGTAACCATCCCTCTCGTCCCTTGAATAGGCTGCATTATGGTGTTTTAACAAGTGTCGTGAATTTTTTTCCCCTTTAACACTGGCACAGACGATAACGCACCTTTTAATATAATGGGGTGTTGATGAAGGGTTCTCAGAAAGCTAGGACGATCCTGACAGGTATTGGTTCAGGCAGCATTTTGGGAAAGGCCAGGAAAGAGAAGTGTGGGTTGCTCACTGACGAGAAAATACACAATTGTCAGCACAGGGCTTGAAGGCTGGAAGGACAGCTGCCTCTTACCAGTGTCTGAATCCAGCAGTCGCTGAAGGGGCCCCTCGTACGTCTCAGCCACCAACAGGCTGTGGAAAGACAGTGTCCCGTAAAAATTCTCTCCCAGATCTGTGGGATGTCTGGGAACCAAAACCTCTTTAGCCTGTAAGTAACATCTTCTGTGAAGCCTGCATTGTGGGAAGTGAGAAAGGTCTGGCTCCCAGGCCTCCCCGGAAATGGTAAGGCCT